AAGTTGTAAAAATAAAATTATTATATTGAGAGTACAAATTAGTTCGATCCGTTTTCCAAAAGATGGCTCTGGCTGTTGTGAATGGTTCATAGTGACAGCTGATTTTGGCGTTTTCAGAGAAGTTAGACATCTGCTAATAATATTCAGTTTATATCGCTTTGAGTTTCATACAAAAACCTTGATTTTTACTGTGTTTGAAATGTCGAATTTTATGTTACCAAGCAGCATTTGCGGGAGGTTCTAATTTTCTGGTTTAATTGGAAGAAAAATGCAGCTGAAGCCCATCGAATGCTTGTCGAAGTTTATGGTGACACTGCTCCAACTGATAAATCATGTAGGGAATGGTTTCGACGTTTCAAGGATGGAGATTTCAGCATTGAAGACAAGCCTCGCTCTGGACAGCCAAAAAAATTCGAAGACAAAGAATTAGAGGCATTACTCGAAGATCAGAGTCAAACGCAAGAGGAGCTTGCAGAATCATTGGGAGTAACTCAACAAGCCGTTTCTGCACGATTGAGAACCATGGGAATAATTGAAAAACAAAGAAATTGGGTGTCTTATGAACTGAAACCGAGAGACGTTGAAAGGCGATTTTTCACTTGCGAACAGCTGATTCAAAGATAACAAAGAGAAGGTTTTTTGCATCGGATGAGATGAGAAGTGGATATTCTACGACAACCCTAAGAAGAAAAAATACTACGCTAAGCCCGGTCAATCGTTGCCATCGACCTCAACATCAACACCAAAGCCGAACATTCATGGTTCGAAGATCATGCTCTGTATCTGGTGGGACCAAAAGGGTGTTGTTTACTATGAGCTGCTGAAACCTGGCAATTCCATTACGGGCTATCGGTATCGGCTACAATTGATTCGTTTGAGCCGTGCATTGCGAGAAAAACGGCCGGAATACGAGCAAAGACATGATAAAGTTATTTTTCTTCATGACAACGCTCGGCCTCATGTCGCAAAAGTCGTAAAAAAATATTTGGAAACGCTCAAATGGGATGTTTTACCGCACCCGCCGTATTCTCCGGACATTGCTCCTTCTGATTACTAGTTGTTCCGAAAGATGCAGCACGATTTGGTAAGTCACCGGTTCACTTCTTTCGGAGAAATCGAAAATTGGCTCCAAAATTGGATCGCCTCCAAAGACGAGTCATTTTTTCGAGATGGAATTCGAAAATTGCCTGAGAGATGGGAAAAAGTAGCCAGCGATGGACAATACTTTAATTAATCTGTTCATTCATTTTGTTTTGAAATAAATGCATTTTTGAACACAAAAAAAACAGACCGAACAGACAGAACTAATTTGTACTCCCAATATATACTTTTCAATTTATACTTTTCAATTTAATTGTAAATTACAAAATTTATCAAATATTATCTACACATTTATATTACATGTGACAGTTTTAATATTATAAGTAACACTCGAAAAGATCAAGATTATGTCATCATGATTGAGATTTCATATGAAATGATATTAGGTGTTGGAATTAATTCGTAGCGTTTTTTAATGAAAGAATGTTATTATTTCACATGAGCATTAAAAAATACATTAATGAAAGTACTTCCCATCACTTATAAAACGCTACGAATTAATTCCAATACCTAATAAGATAACATCATATCAACATTATCGTGACAATCAAGTTACACTATTTAAACAGAAAATATTACATATTCTAAATATTACATATTCTGAAAACTGGCTGTTGAATAAAAGCGTAAGCAGATCAATAACTGTATGACAGAGAATATTGGTAACTCGTGATTATTTATTTTTGCGAGTCCTTCTTCAATTAATGGCAAAATGCCAAACATAAGAGTTTTTGAAAAACAAAATCTTCTTTTAAATTCCCATTCATTAAATAATTCAAATGGGTTTTGACTATCATGGATATATCTTTTGGGAGCACGAATTTGTATCTCGTTTTCTTCTTCATTTGAGAAGCTAATATCCTGAATTTCAACAAAATTCCAAGATTTTCCTAGATCCATTATTACTATTAGGTGTTGGAATTAATTCGTAGCGTTTTTAATGAAAGAATGTTATTTATTTCACATGAGCATTAAAAAATACATTAATGAAAGTACTTCCCATCACTTGTAAAACGCTACGAATTAATTCCAACACCTAATATAAAATAATACAATTGGATATACTATGCACTTTAATTTTCGCTATTACTCCTTTCATATGTATATGATTTTTGCTTAAGTCGTCCTTCCACTCGACTTAGCGAAGACAATTTTATTTACCTATATATGTCACATAAGATAATCTTAAATGACTATGACGGTATTCGCAATCCGTTCTCAAGGTGATGCTTAAGATTATCTTGATGAAGATCATCTTATTTGCTGAAGATCACTTTAAGACATTGTGAATTCATAATCCATGAATAAGACAATCCCAAGAATGCACTAATACTTAAGGACCGTTTTGTTTCATATTATTATCTTTGTAAAGATCGTATTTAAGACAGTGCTTATTTGCGTTCGGGAACTTCCGTCATAATTCCGTTAGGACAACCAATAATATGATAGAAGAATTTGAATGTTGTGTATTCACTTGATTACTCTTACATTTGTGTATTTCAAGATTCTTCTCCAAAAGACTTTTATACGGAAATAACGATAAATGGTAAGTAATAAGAGTAGACATTATACGCCTGCGGAAAAGAATCTTTTCTTAATTTTAAGTAAATATAAAGATATTATTGAATGCAAAAAACAGTAACGTTAACACACTTCGCGAAAAAGAAGTTGCGTGGACTAACATTTGTGACGAATTTAATAATTCGTCATTAATTACGCAAGAGGTAAGAAACATTTATTTCTTTATAGAATATAATTAGATAATTTTAACAAATTATGTCAACACTGAATATAATATGAATGTAATACGTACAATTGAAAGGCTTGCTACATAGTGAGTTAACTTACATTTTACAAAAATGGAGAAAATAAATTGTATTCTGTCTCATCCATTTTTAACAGTATATGTTTAGCTAGTGTTAATTTTATAATGTAACTAGAATGAATATTGTCTGAATGCAACATGTGATATTTGATAGAAATAGAAGAGTGAATGTCCGAGCATTTTCTCCATTTTTACAATTGTGGGTAATTTATTATTACAGCAATTCCTTTAATTAATGCTTATTTCAACAAATTCTTATCGAGTTTGTTGTGAAATTATTAAAACATTTATTTTACATTGCATTAATATTCTTTTAACAAATAAGAAAAAAGCTTACGAACTGTATGTATAAATGTCTTCATTGTATTATTCGTAAATTTATATAACATTTCAATTAGTATATAAATCTAGTTTGGCTCTTAAGTTCCTTCTTTTAATTTTAAATTCATTATTCGTCATTTTATTAGGTGTTGGAATTAATTCGTAGCGTTTTTTAATGAAAGAATGTTATTTATTTCACATGAGCATTAAAAAATACATTAATGAAAGTACTTCCCATCACTTGTAAAACGCTACGAATTAATTCCAACACCTAATAGTATTATAAATATAATAACCATTTAGTTATTACTATTAATTATTTAATATTCTTTATTTATGTTATAGCAACAGTTGCACTTAGCACTCTTGTAAAGTAAATGAACCAGTTACCAGTGAACTATAAGTGTACATAATTAAATTATTTGACGAAATAAAAATTTTAATTATTAAGATAATTTGAATAATATATATGATTTTAATTAGATTCGTTTATACAAATTTTATAACGAATTATTTAGAATCGTGTATATCATAAGAAACTTCATATTTAATATTTGTCATTTCGTCTAACAATTAAATCATATCCATTTACTGTACATTTACCTTAAATTATAAACATATATTATTATTATAACATAATATTAAAATGAAATAAAATATATAAAATAAAATACAGGAACAAGAGCAAGAATATAAATGATATAATACTTTTAAGTATTAAACTTAACATATCACATATCGTGAAAAAAAAAACAAAAAAAAATGAAAAACACAGATTGAGTTCTAGTATTATTATTGTTTTTGTTTAATGTATGATATGTAAGAAATGTGTAATATTAGGATTAAAAATAATTTTCATTTTTTTTAGTTTGTAATTGCAATTGCAATTCAGCTGTTTTTGTTGCAGCAACAGCTGCAAGTAGCTCTTGTTCCTGCATTTTTATTAAATGCTACTCTCTTAAATTATTTCTCTTTCGTGTTTTATTTTTATTGTATTAATTTCCATTTCTTGCTCTAGAATTTTTCGTATTCTTTCTCTTTCCAATTTTGCTTCATCTTCGTTGTCATTAACAAGAATCGTATTATGTTTTATATGCTTTATTGATGCAGATTTATCTTTTGCTGTATCCTCTTCTATTTTGCAGATGTGTGTATTAATTAATAAAATAAAATATGTTATTTTTAAAGTACTATTGATGCTATAATATTATGTTTATATACTTGTCGTCAAAGAATTCTTAGTAATCGGTATGTCAATGTTAAGATTCTCTGATGGTGATTCTTTCAATGGTGAATTTTTGTTATCTATTTCTTCTTCTTTAGACACATTTGGTTCTATATTCTCTTCTATTACAGAAACAAAAGTATTAACTAAATCAGTTTCTCATAAATTAAACACATTTAGAGCAATATCAAACTTATTATTTAAGATTTCGTTAATATTTTTTTCGCTATTATAAAACCTCTCTTCTTTATTATTTTCTGTATTTATTGTCTCATCGTCAAATATAATAGATATTTCATTTAAATAATCTAATGATAATCATTAGATGAATCACTTATCATTTCTTTTTCTTGTTCTACAAATATAAAACGTTTGTATATTATATATTGAGTATTATAGTGAACATTATATATTATTTATATTATAATAGAATACAATACATAAAATATAAAATTGTCATCAAAATACAGTTAATACAGTATAATACAGTTAAATTTAATTTATTAAAGATATTATATATACCTTCAATTTCTTTGTTGTCAAAATTAGATGAATAAATTGTCGATGCAGTTTTCATTAAGTCTAGAGCTATTACTGATGTATCAGGATCAATTTCAACTGATGTAATGGATAGTCCTCAACCTATTGCCATCCGGGCTTGCTTCTCCTTGGTTAATGCATCTCTTTGATTCTATTTTAAATTTGTCCATAACTTTTTCAGTTGCTGAACATTCCTCTACAATAATTGTTGATTATTAAAGAATCAGTTTAAAAATAATGGTTAATAAAAAATGATACAGAATAAGTCTTCTACGTAATTTTCTTACTTCTTGAATAATTAATTGAGATGCATTATATCTTTGGTTATCTGACCAAGCTTCGTCTTTACTTATTAATGTAAAAAAATTATTTTTTTTAACTCTATTACATGTTTATATCTTTTTAATATATCTAAAAATAACTTTCTTTCAAGTGATGTAAAATGTCTTGCTTTATTTTTGTTTTTATCCATCTTAATGTGTAGTTTCTATAACTTGAGTAATTTGACTTCTACAATATGATGAACGAGGTTAGGAACTAATCTATAGATTTTATTATTATATATATTTCTAGAACATCTCCCATTGGCTAATCCGAAAGAAATTTTACGAATTTACCCGAAGTTAGAAATGAGATTACCTTAAGTTTTGTCTTTATCAAAATCAACTTATTTTAAATGAGACTATCCTTAATACCAATTTCTTCAAAAAGGTTACCTTATTTCTGAACTGAATACATTCTATCTTGAGGAGTCCTTATACAGATAAGATGGCTTTCTTTAAGAAGATCTTAAACGCTATCTTGAGACAGGACTATGAATACCGGCCTTAGACTGGTATTCATAGACCGGTATTCATAGTCAGATCTTATATTCAAGATCGTCTTAAGTATGCTCTTAAAACACTGTCTAGATTCATAATCGCGACTTAAGATAACCTTAAGTTCTTACCTTAAGCATTACCTTGATTAAGATCCTCATCCTAAATATGTCTTAGGACGTCCTGGGATATTAGAGGACATTCATATAGTCAGGGGATAGTCCTGAAGATGTTCTTGTGCTATTTGGATTATTAATTACCAATTATACTATATACTAAAATTACTGATTACTAATTACCTATCAATTTTTGTATATTTTTATAATCATGACCATATAAAAAAAATGTGTACATTGAATTATATCATTTATACGATAGTTCTACTTATTTAAGAGATAAAATAAAATTACAAAATATTTAAAATAATCTGTTATTAGACTTCGGGTTGTTTTAACCACATGTTATAGAATAATCTGATAATAAATCAAAAGAATAAAAAAACATATATATATATATATATATTACATATTTTTCGTATTGTGTATTTTACCCTGAAATCTCTTGTCGCCGTAATATATACTAATTGTAACTAAATATGAAACTTTTTTTCTATTATTATTATTACTTATTCATTACTTAATGCACAAATAATTACTTAATATAATAAACATAATAAACATAATAAAATTATTATAATGAACAATTAACATAAAATAGTTTACATAAACAGTTTTACGTTTTTTTAAGTCTTCTAAAGTTTTAAACTTACAAATAGGTAAGGAATAATGTATTTTTCTTTCTTTAATAAAAGTTCAGTTATTTCAGCCTTTTTTTCAGCTTCTCTAGCTTTTGTCAGCGACATCCTTAATTCTGCTTTCTTTAATTCCTTTAAATGAGTTTCTTTAATAGCAGCCATGGTTTCTTCATGTTTGAGTTTTATTTTGGCCAACTGTTGTTCTTGCTTCATTATTCTTACAATTTTTAAATCATCTTCTGTTTCTATGAACTGCGTTTCTTCGTGGTCTTGCTTATTATTTCTTCTATTATAACTTCTGTAAAAAAAATTATAACATATTTAAAGATGTAAAAGAATCACTTTATGAATACATTAAATATATTATTATAATTATATTATAAATATATTATTAATTAGAAAAAAGTGCATCAAAATACTTTTCATGGCAAATAAATTTGTCAAATGACGTAAGTCAAATATAATATGTTATTCGAAATGTGGGATTAGTAATATTTCCTAATTTTTTAAATTTAGGAAATATAAATATAAATATAAGTCTTATCTAATAAACTAACATTTATATTTTATATATTTCATGTATCGTAAGAATTAGCCAATTACAGTCAAGAATTGTCAAAAACTTTCAGCTCTTTGATTGGTTAATTCTTACGGTACATCTTATGATTACTATTACGGAAAGTGTGTAAGGGCCCCCTAAGATATATATATTTGTGTGATAAAAAAAATTACTGTTATATATTTTAATAACCTTTGGAATCTGATGCTTTTGTTTCACATAAAGTTATGTTTTCCTTATCTGTCACTTGATCGTTTGATCAAGTTCTATTGTACTGTCATTTATATCTTGTACGATCTGTTTGTGATCTAAAATTTAGTAAAAAATAAATGCAAACAATTACTATTACTATTATTACTTACTATTACTATTCCCAAAGAAATGCTTACTTTCTATTTCATCATCATTCATATTTGATGAAAATAATGTAGGGACTACGGCCATTAAATTAGGCGCTATTAAAGCAACATTTGGATCTAGTTCTGAGGATGGTGTTTCTGGTCCGACACCTATAGCAAATCTAGCTTGTCTTTCTTTTGTTATAATATCTCTTTGAGTTTGCTTTAAGTTAGTCCACAACTTTTTCCGTTGTTGTATTTCTCTACAAAAATAAAGGAATATTAAGTAATTAATAGTAATAACTAAATAGTTATTATATTTATAATACTAAAATGACGAATAATAAATTTAAAATTAAAAGAAGGAACTTAAGAGCCAAACTAGATTTATATACCAATTGAAATGTTTATATAAATTTACAAATAATACAATGAAGACGTTTATACGTACAGTTCGTGAGCTTTTTTCTTATTTGTTAAAAAAATATTAATGCAATGTAAAATAATGTTTTAATAATTTCACAACAAACTCGATAAGAATTTGTTGAAATAAGCATTAATTAAAGGAATTGCTGTAATAATAAATTACCCACAATTTATAAAAATGGAGAAAATGCTCGGACATTCATTCTTCTATTTCTATCAAATATCACATGTTACATTCAGACAATATTCATTCTAGTTACATTATAAAATTAACACTAGCTAAACATATGATACTGTTAAAAATGGATGAGACAGAATACAATTTATTTTCTCCATTTTTGTAAAATGTAAGTTAACTCACTATGTAGCAAGCCTTTCAATTGTACGTATTACATTCATATTATATTCAGTGTTGACATAATTTGTTAAAATTATCTAATTATATTCTATAAAGAAATAAATGTTTCTTACCTCTTGCGTAATTAATGATGAATTATTAAATTCGTCACAAATGTTAGTCCATGCAACTTCTTTTTCGCGAAGTATGTTAACGTTATTTTATTTGCATTCAATAATATCTTTATATTTACTTAAAATTGGTAAGAAAAGATTCTTTTCCGCAGGCGTATAATGTCCACTCTTATTACTTACCATTTATCGTTATTTCCGTATAAAAATCTTTTGAAGAAGAATCTTGAAACACACAAATGTGTAAGAATAATCAAGTGAATACACAATATTCAAATTCTTCTAACATATTATTGGTTGTCCTAACGGAATTATTCCCGAACACAAATGAGTACTGTCTTAAGTACGATCTTTACAAAGGTAATAATAGGAAACAAAAGTCCTTAAGTATTAGTGCATTCTTGGGATTGTCTTATTCATGGACTATGAATTCATAATGTCTTAAAATGACCTTCAGCAAATAAGATTATCTTCATCAAGATAATCTTAAATATCATTTTGAAAACGGACTATGAATTCCAGTCTTAATCAAGATAATGCTTAAGGCGAGAACTTAAAATTATCTTAAGTCACGATTATGAATCTAGACAGTGTCTTAGGAGTATACTTAAGACGATCTTGAATATAAGATCTGACTATGATAATACCATTCATAGGTGATATTCATAAAAATCACTGAAATTAAATTGAAATTTCTCTGAACTTTTGTAGAAACTTTTTGGAAACTTTTCTTAAAATTTCTCTGAAATTTTACTAAAATTTTACTAAAAATAAATTTTTCAACAAAAAGTCGCTGAAATTAAATTGAATTTTTTCTGAAATGCTGTTCCAAAATGAGCATTAATTTCAATAAAATTTTTTCATTGGAATTGAAGAACGGATTTTACAGATCTGTCTTGTCCGTCTTGTTTGTATTTTTTCTGGAGTACTCAAGTGGTAATTAATTGTTAAGAAGATCGCGTTTATCTCAAATTTTGATAAAAATACCCTGAATCAATGTGTTTTCGCGTAAAAATAAATATTTGACACGAAAAAGATGTCGCGTTGCTCCGCAAACCGAAATATATCACTAAAGTTGACGACTATTTAAGTTAAGAAATCTGTCACAGCAATATTCGTTGTTTTTAAAAACAAATTCACTGCTTTAAAAATAATATAAGAAAATAATTGATATTTTTAAAGCAGATTTGTTTTAAAGCAGAGTTTAAGTTTAAAATTAATACCTTTTTAATTTTTTTATACAATATAAATTAAAGTTTAAATCCAGCATTTCTTTAAAATACATGTAACTATAAACGCGACTTCACTGTTGTCAAAATTCCTATAAATTTTGAAAAAAGTTTTATAATGTTGTATTAAATTTTTGTTAATTAAAATTAATAATATTACCTAACGATTTAAATATAAGTAAATCTATCGTGAATCTCTCACGTTTCTGATTTTTTGTATATGTTTGTTTTAATATGAAAGATAAAATGTCATATAAAAAATCTTCTAATATTGCGTTTATATAGGCAAAATTTACAAAAATCATATTCATTTATGATTGGTTAAATCTCGGTCCAAATATTTCTCGTATGAATTTTAGCCATAAGTTTACATTACCAACAAATTTTTGAACAGCTAGCCAAGAATCTTTATTTAATTGCTTTATTGAATATATCATTTTTCAATACAATCAAAAAGAGTCTGCAATAGAGAAATATCTTGTCTGCCTACTTATACACGTGATTACAACGCGTGATCATATCAATACATTTAAGTATGACAGATTTCCTAACTTCAATAGTCAACTTTGATGTTTATCTCTTGATGTTAATATCTTGCCCAGCAAACGAGAATGGATTAAAATGGATTGGAATTTTTTTCTATCCAAATGCGTATTTTAAATAGCAAATACTTTTTTTGGATTTAATTGGATTCAATTAGATTCAATTGGATTGAATTAAATGCAATTGGATTGAAAAGCTACATTTCCTATTCAAAATTTTGAATTAAACAGTATTCACAGAAAAGGCTAATATTATTTTAAGATTGAAAGGCACAGAAATGCTCCATGCAATTCCTATAAATGAATAAAAATGGCATTCAAGATTGAAAAGCATTCATTCGTGAATCAATATTTCTGAAAATCTGAATCCATTTCAATTCATTTCAATTCATTTTCATTTGCTGGGTTTTTATATGCTCCGTAAATAAATATGCATACTTGTAAAACTATAATATTTTATATCTTGCCGCAAAATTACAATTTTTTTTCTCTATAGTTATGATCTCTGTTGATAATCAAACTTTGATGATAACACTGAAGTCGCAATTTTAAAGAAAAATCGAGTATTATTAAATTTTAAATGCATATACATATATCGATAAACACTTCTACAAAACTAATAAATCATAAAATTAGTACAATATTATCAGTTTTTTATTCTTAATCACTCCCAGCAAATGAGAATGGATTGAAATGGATTCAGATTTTCAGAAATATTGATTCACGAATGTTAAAATGAATGCTTTTCAATCCTGAATGCAATTTTATTCAATTATAGAAATTGCATGGAGCATATCTCTATGCCTTTCAATCTAAAAATAATATTAGCTTTTTCTGTGCACACACAACACATTGAATAATGTTCAATTCAAAATTTTGAATAGGAAATGCAGTTTTTCAATCCAATTGCATCCAATTGAATATAATTAAATCCAATTGAATCCAAAAAAAAATATTCGCTATTTAAAATATACATTCGGATAGAAAAAAATTTCAGTCCATTTTAATCCATTCTCGTTTGCTATGCTTTAATGGGCTTTCCATTTGATGACACAAATTGACACAAGTCGGCATAAGTGACGTTATATCTTTATTACTCTCTGAATGTCAAGAAGGATACCCAGCAAACGAGAATGGATTGAAATGAATTGAAATGGATTTAGATTTTCAGAAATATTGATTCACAAATGTTAAAATTAATGCTTTTCAATCCTGAATGCATTTTTATTCATTTATAGGAATTGCATGGAGCATATCTCTATGCCTTTCAATCTAAAAATAATATTAGCTTTTTTTATGCACAACACACACATTGTGAATACTGTTCAATTCAAAATTTTGAATAGGAAATGCAGTTTTTTAATCCAATTGCATCCAATTGAATCTAATTGAATCCAATTGAATCCAATTAAATCCAAAAAAAAAGTATTCGCTATTTAAAATATGCATTCAGATAGAAAAAAATTTCAATCTATTATCCATTCTCGTTTACTGGATAGAACGACGCTTATGTCGACTTATGTCATCAAATAGAAAGCACCCAATATTAACAAGAGGTCAACGCTACAAATGTTTTAAAGCAATTTTTGGTTGATAAATTTGTAAAATTATTTTTTCTAATTGGTCAACTAAACGCTTCAAAGCATTTGTAGCGAGACTGACCGCAGCCAAAATCGCAAACTTCCGTAAGGATGTTGGTCTTTAATAATATTTCGTTGGTGGCGTAATGTATCATTTATCTTTGTTTAACATTCGGTGAACAATAAGGATAAATGATGCATCTTGCGCATTATGTGTGAAACGGAATGCAACCTTTTGATCTATTTTTTATTCCTGCACTAGACTGCACTAAAAGTCTCTTTCTTGCTTTTAAATATCAGATATATATCTATCGCACTTTAAGATCCAGAAGTGTAGTTCAGTAACAGAAAACAGACCTTTTGATAATATCTCGTCAATGGCAAGAACCAATCGCATTCAAGAATTTTACAACAGTTGCAAAACTGCTTTCTCTGCTGAATCTTTTGCTACCATCGATGTATGATACAAGATGGCACTACGTGTTCGACTAATCGGAGCTTCTGCTTGCTTGCTGATGTATTGCTTTAGAACAGGTAAACGTTTCATTGTAGACTAATGTTCGATGATCTTGTTCTATCGGTCGCGTGCAGTTGCCGACTCTTGGATGTATCTGTTAAACGTATGAATGTTAAGATAGTGTGATCCTGAACGTAATTATTCGTGGTTTTGGCATTTTATCTCTAATTTTGTGGTACTTCCATTTCTCTCTCGTGATTCGATCACGTCGCATTTTATCATTCGTGACGAAAAGGTTCGAAGTAAACTTCTTTCTGGGAATGTTGAAGAATTCGCTTATCGTTCGAGCATCTTACCAAGAGGTGGGTAAGTTTAGCTTATGATTTCCTTCATTACGAGTGAAAACAGATAAGGATGTGTATATGATTGTAAATATCGGATGCACACATCACAAATATGCGCGCGCGCGCACGTATGAGTGCGATTTATTTGGGTGTGTATGTGTTGTGTGTGTACGCGCGTTTGCATCTTTTGAATGTGAATCTCATGTAAAATCATAAA